GCGCTATTTTGTGTTTATTTTATTATTAAAGTTTTGTTTAAATGTTCGCCGGTTCCCGTCTCCTTCTTCCCGATCTACAAACGTTGTTACAGAAAGAATATTGGCTCCATCTATCCACAATCAAACTGTCCCAAAGTGTATTGTATTCCTGTGTTGTATGCATGTTCAGTTCAATTCAAGTTTATTTGTACAGCGCTTTTCACGATACAAATCATTGCAAAGCAACACAGAGAAACAAATAGAGACATAATTAGCGTAGCTGCTGTTCCAACCAAGCAAAATTGATTTGTTTAACCCAAACTAAAGAATAATAATGTGCATTTGATCACATATAACTGCAGTACAAGATTATGAGATGCATTATTTGAATGCTTGGCCAAAGAGATGTGTCTTTAATCTAGATTTAAACAGAGAGAGTGTGTCTGAACCCCAAACGTTATCAGGAAGGATATTCCAGAGTTTGGGAGCCAAACCTGTTATTGTTAACAGGGTTAACAATAAGTTCCTCTTATAACACATGATGGACTGCATGAATGTTTTCTTTGAGTGAATTGATATTTTGAATGGATTCAGAGTGGTAGTAAAGGAATGATGTGCTCCATTTCTATATTAGCCTATCCTGTTCAACAAGTAAAGAAAGTCAAAAGTGTCAGAACAAAAGGTTATATATTTTATTTTAATGACAATCTACAATATCCATAAATACACCTACCCATTTTTGTAGTGTAGGCCTCCATATAAGTATAGGAGTTTTTGTTATAAAGTTTGTCTTACTTTGTATATAAATATAAAATATATTCATACAAAGAACACAATAGTGGTTAACAAAACACCTGTGCGTATATTCATTTGTATAAGATGTTGCTGAAATGAATGCTCACAATATGTACTCAATTATTTTCAAGCAGAAAACATGTCTCTGTCTTTAGGGTTAAAAGTCTAGAAGGGAAAAAAAAAAGTCTGAAGCTCAATGTTAACTGCTGGTAACCAGCCTCCACACAGCTGATCTGATACTATCTCTGCCCACCCAGAAATGCTAAACCACATTTACATACTGTGGTGAGTAAGTTTTTGTAAGGGAGAAGAGTGCTGCTGGTGCCATGTTTTTCTGATCCACAGCTAAACATGACATTTTTTGTAGCTTTTCTGTAAATGTCTGTAGTAAAAAAATAAATAAATAAAATAAAAAGAACAATAAATAAATAAATAAATAAAAGAACAACCATCTCAAAAATATCAACCACTTTTCTTTCATTTTCCAGCGCCTGTGAATATTTCAGAACATTCTAGTGACAACTTAACTCATTTTACAACTTCATTCTCTCTGGCTCCACAAGTCACCCGAGACAGGTCAAGCACAAGACTCAACTCATTCTGTTCCTTTAAAATCATGATAATCTCATTTTCCATTCCTAGCATATTTCTTAGGTGTTCTTTATGAGTTCCAGCTAAATTTTTCTCAACTAAACACTGATGACAAGATCAATTTTATTCATTCATATACTGCACTGTAATGGCATTGCATTTACATTTAGTCATTTAGCAGAGGCTTTGATAAAACTCCATTGTTCATGACACAAATTTGCATGTATTTAAATTAAAGTAATACCTTTAAAATGAAACATAATTTCAACAAAGTGTATTAGGCTTTGAATATTAAATGATTTTACACCTGATATTAAATGCAAATTCTTATTTGACATGACCTATCTGTAACTCTTCACCCTCCTGACAGGTTTGTTCCTGAAGATCCTACTATGTGGGTTACTTACTAAGCATGCATACAGAATTTACCAAAGGATCTGTAAGCTATGGTTTGAACTCCCAAACCGGATTTATTCTGAGAAGCAGTTTGTCTTCCTTGAACCTGCGTTTACTTTCATTACGTCACGCAGCGGGAGTGTCATAATGTCGTGCATGTAACCAACCAATCACACGCTGTAGGCTACAGGCGACACAGTATCACTCGGAAGGGCGTTTAGTTTAAACCTTAAAAGTTCTCGTAACGTAATATAAAACCAGGTATTTAAAAAAAAATATATATATAGGCTATATATACTTTGTAGCATTTCAAAATGGATATGTGGACCTTCGTCTTTGTTTGCCTTTCGATCTCAGTCACAGGTAGGAGTCCATGTTTTCAGTGTTTGAATCATGGTTACATTTCATTTTTATTACGTCCTGTCATTGACTGTCTTCTGTGAATTGTTCAATATAAACTTTTGATATAAAAAACTTTTCAATATTTAAAAAAAAATATATTGTTAAAACATTCAATCAGTGTTTTCTCACTTTTATTAAATCAAAAAATGTATTATTATTTGCGTATAGTGGAATAGAGTTTAAATTTAGTATAGGTCTGCAAGAAAAGAAAACATTCGAGCAGTTCGAAATTATTCGATACAGCGATTCATGCATAGCAAAATTAGGCGTATCTGCTTTGTTATGGTACCTAATTATCGTAACATAAGTTTTGTGTTTAGGTCGAATAGAAACTGCATTAGCATTGTATTGCTGTTTAAATGTGAAAGAAGGCCTTTCACGGCTCGACGGCATCACCTGTAGAACCTGTTTTTCCACCTCGCCCATCCTCCATCCGAAACCAGAGCTCAACAACCAGGAAATTGTGATAGCTGAAACACGATCCAGAACGCGTGACCAAATAAAAGCAATTAACAGTAAAGTCACACTGTATTTAAATAAGGTAAAAGTGATATATATTTTTATTATTGAGTATTAATAGTAGTCAACCAGTAACGATGACACACCTGTTGATAGCGTTAACTGCGCGCGCACACAAGCATCC